ATATGAGTTGTGTATTTTTGCAACGATTTTGTCACAAAAATTATATGCTGTATGAAATGCAGCGGCAAGAATATCGTTAACAAGTTTTTGCAGCAGCCTAGAAGCAATAAACTTGGCAACGTGGCAAGTAAATATTACAAAATTAAAAAAGTAATAAAAATGTTGTATTGAAAATTTTGCTGGTATATGAAAAATTGAAAATAAAAAATACATAAGAAACTAGCATAGCGATAATAAATAAATAAAAAATAATAAATGATAATTAAAAATAACCAAACAAGCATGGTTGGCCAAGTAGCTTTTGTTGGTTGGTTCTTCAAGCAGTAAATGCAAGATATACTTCTAAAAATGCTTCAATTTTACTGTATGTTTAGATAATAGTAACGCAAACATATATATTGATCTAATGATACCATATAAGATATAAAAGAAATTGCATTTTTAGAATACGAAGACGAGGTGAGTGAGGAGGCTCGAATGCGAGCAGTAAGTTGAAATTTTTAAAAAGAAATTATATGAAGAAAAAAGAAACAGCAAACGATATAATAAAAATTAATATGCATAACCAAAAGAGATAATGTATTTGGTTCATAACTAAAACTATGAATAACCTTTAATAAAATAAATGTTAAAACAAAAATTAGCAGAATGTGAAGTCATATGTATGTACTAAGTAGGTTAAATGTAATCTGAAGTAGGCCGTAAGTCTCCAGAGTGGAGTAGAATGCGAGTAACTCGTTTGTTATGTGGTTTTTCTATTAAATTTACTGATGTTAAAAGTTTCGAAATTCATTAGTGGGACTATTTCTTATTTGCTGACTTTTTAGAGTGTAACTATGTATGTCTAGATTTTTGAAAAACCTTCTACTTTGTTGCTGAATCATTTTCTCATTTTCCAGAAAAGCTAAAGCTTGGCTTTCTAACATTTACTCGTATTTCATACAAGTATTCAAGGTTTTTTCATAACCATATTTGGCGGTAAATTTTAGGCTATTGTTTTTCAAGCTTTCACTCGAGACCAAATTTTCATATACCGGTATTATTTCAGAGTGGCATAGCCTCTCTACAAACGGTTGAAAAAGTGAGAAGCATACTATTTGTGAAGTTTTGACTAAAAACTTAGTCAGCCATTAACACCTAGAAAATGGCCGAATGGGAATAAGATTTGATCAACAAGACATGCAACAAGCATGGGATTCCCTCTTCGCATTATTGGAGGCCGAATACCACGAAAACGTTCCGAAATGTCAAGATAGAATTGTGCATTAACGGATTGGCTCGGTGGCACGAATTCTTTGTGAATAATACCCTTGCGCCCGTGGAGAGAAATCAGGGCCGTGATCGAATGATTGATTACTCGTTGAGCTCCTTTCTCTTCAATATAATTTGTGTTGAAAAAGCAGACTCGTGATTGCGTTCCGTTACCTGAAAGTGAAAATTCGAATCGAAGCTCATGCGATCACGGATGCCCCGATTCAGACCCAGCATTTACTGGCGTCCCCAATTCTGCACTTTGAAGCTTGTTTTCAAGATCGTATTGAAACCCCCACATTTCGTGCCAGTCACAATTTAAATGAGGAAGTTTACCAAAACTTTTTTCGGGCTCTTTAATGATGCCCTGATCAGAGAGGGCCGTAATCAGGCTAATGAGTAATTGAAAAAAAAAAATAAGACTAAATGTCCATCATCATTCAAGTAATTTCGAAAGATACAAATTTATTCTTAATTTAAGTAATTTCGAATGACGAATAAATTTTCATTCACAATCGAATAACTTCAAATAACGAGTAAATAAAACAAAAAAAAATATATTCGTCATTCGAAATGACTTGAATGAAGAATACAAATTTGTTCGTCATTCAAACAGAAAAATTCTGAATAAAGTGTTATTTTTTATTTGAATAATATTCAATTAAAAAACACCTATCCCTGGTTCTGATGTTGAATTTTGAGCAACTTTTGGTCATACTGACGCCATAACTTCACTTCCAGTCAAGCAAAAGCCACAACATTGTATTTGGAAATCGGTAAAGCATATACATACATCTCCAATGCGCAATCTCACTAATATATATATGAAAAACGCGAACTGAAAAACCAGTCGGAGATTTACATCCTTATTCCCTAATCTGCTCTAAGCAAGGATCACACGATTTGTAAATTTTTACGGCAGTGTGTTTCTAGAAATCACATATGTATGTATGGGCCTAAAAATATGCAACGTGAAAGCGCATTCATCACCCATGCAAACAGGGCCAAAGATCCTGCGTAGAATAATTCTTTCGAAAGTCCCAAAGCCTTCTTACTTTTGTTCGACATTGTACATGTTTCTGCACAGCATAAAATGCGGGGCTAGATGAGAGATTTGTAGACCGTGATTTATTATTCACCGAGAAAGGGCGCCTGTTGGCAAAAGTTATTCTTATTTTTTATTGTTATTCAGTATTAGTGCTGGACCAGGGACCCAAAATAACCGTTATCACTGGACCGTAAGTAGACAACGATATTCACAACTTCCGGACCAGGAGTGCTTGCACGCACCTCTAATTTATCAGCCACTCAGCCAGAATTAATAATACCAATGTAATCTCATTACTATCTTCTAGGAATCGAAGTAAATGTTTTAGCAAAAATGTTCGAAAAATTTTCACTACGAACGGCACGAAGCTTAAGCTTTTAGCCTAAAAGTATTCTAGGTGATTTTCTTCTGAGCAGCTTCTCCCCACAAATTCTATGTTAAAAATAGTCCCACTATTAAAATCAAGTTTTTGCGCCATAGTTTTAGGCAAGTAGTTACGACAATAGTAATGCGATGAGTTTTGTCATGGGCGGAAACAAACGATATCGAAACGGTTGGAAAGTTTGAAAAGTTTTGAAGGATTAATCGATCGAGGTTGTCGAAAGAAAAACCGAGGTTACGAAAAAATGTTCTTTCAGTTCCCCAAGATTTTAGTCGGACTTGATTTAAAATTTTTTTTCTACACAAAAATTAAAATAAAAAAATAGTATCAAAAGTTCCAATTAAAAATTATTCCAACCAATTACCAAAGCAAATGAAACGAGTTAATCGTTAGCAGCCCTGATACATATGTATGTAGAAGTTAAATAAAATAATATTGATGCGGATGATGTTGTAAGGTTTTAAACTGCCATTTAAATAAATAAATATATTACAATACAAAAAAAAAAATATAATATGTAGAATAGATTTTGTCCAAGAAAACTTGTAAAAATATATGACAAACACGAACCCATGAGAAAAATGCATTTTAAATAAAAGAAACGTTGTATATTAATTATTATATATATTATTAAACACAATTGCATGCAGTACATGTATGTATGTATATGCACGTACATATATTTGCAAAACACATACACACAACTTATGTATGGATATTTATATGCTAAAAGATTAAGGCTAAATAAATTAATGATAAAAGCAAAAATCTTAGATACTTAATAATAAAAAAAATTTCGTTTATAGCCATGTTTACTTTTCTTAAAGTTCAAAACAGACCTTTACATAAACTTTGGTATGCTCAGATCAAAATTAATCTTATGAATGTTCGAGGTTTATTAACTCTACAATAAAATATATACATACATACATACATAATTATTGATATTATTATGGTAAAACATTGGCTGACCGCCGAATGCATTTAAATTTTTTTACATACGAATTAAGCCTATCTTTTAGGCGCATATATATATATATATTTTTTTTTTACTTCCAACAGAATCAGTTATTTTATAGTATAAATTACAGAAAAATAAAATAAAAAATAGTTTACTTATAATTTAAAATTTTGTTTAGTTAGCTTTCTCTAACGAATCTTTACTTTAGTTATATTAAACATTTTCGTATCCTTACCTTAATAAATAACACTAAGAAGTTGGTATTAAATAAATTCTGCAAATGAAGAAGATCTAGTGTAAAAGTTTTCACATAATAAACTCATATACTCACTTAAATACAATACAAATTTAGCTACTTGAAATCACTCTCAACAATCTCTAAAGCAAATCATTCGTATAAGAATTATGCACTTAAAAGAAAACCATTCCATACTTTGTAGTATGTATGAAGAAGAAGAAAATCTAAAGTGAAGTGCGGAAAATATTAACGCAAGCAAGCAAAATGTCTCGTAATTGTTGAAATTAAATTACGCTAATGCAAACAATATTAGTACTAAATTATGCAAGAAGAAGAAGAAGAACAACAACAACAAAGATAAGACGAAGTAAAAATTGCGCAGAGAAATCGTTTAGAAGGCAATTACATAAATGACGCAAAATGAAGCAAATCAAACACACATACATAAATACATTCATAAATATGTAATTCTAATTCTAATAAAGTAACAAAAGTAAGATGAATTACGATGTAATCACCAACATACATACATACATACAAGAATGTAATAGAGAAAGTAATATAAAAATCGATATAACATCAACCGTTCGGGTACATATGAATGTGCAAGAGTGGAACGAAATCATAACAATTACAAATAAAGTTTCAAACTACCAAAATGTGTTTAGAGTTTTTACTGTTATTGACAGGGACGGAAAATAGTCATTATTTTTTTAATTTTAACCAAAAAAATCAACAAGTTGTAATCGTCGAAAAACAATTTTAATTAAACTCACGTATTTGTGTTCGTACGTTCTACTGTAATTTATAATAATTTTTATTTTTTGAATTTAATCAATAAAGATTAAAAATAATAATTAATTTTTGATTTTTATTTTTTCGATCAAAACTAATGATTATTTGATGATTTTTATTTTTTCGATCAAAGATAATAATTATTATTGAGTTTTATTTTTTCACTTAAGAATAATGATCATTCAAAATACTCAAAAGTTATACCAACGTGATTTCCGACGTGTTCTGTACAGAGGTAGCGACACCCTAATAAAAGGATTCAGTCCCAAAATTTTCAGGTAAAATTTTTAGTAGATTGCGTTTGTATGGCCTTTTCAATTTTATAAAGTAATCATAAAATGATCATTATTTGTGATCGAAAAAATAAAAATCAAATAATAATTATTCCCGTTGAGCGAAAAAAAAACTCAATAATAATAATTATTTGTAAGCGAAAAAAATCATAAATTAATGATTTAATGATTAAATTATTTTAATGATTACCGTCCCTGGTTATTGATTTGAATAGCTAGTGTCCAACCTCTTAAGCCTTAATATTTGCAATTCAATGTTGCTATATTGAAAATCCCTAACCACTTTGTTAAGATTGGAACACTCTTAATTAAGCAATTGAATTTTAACGGGTCTTTGAGAATCAATTATACAAGGTCGCATCCATCGAACTATGACAATACTTTTGCGAGATATTTTGTCTTAAAACGGAGTTTTGAATCGCATACTACTAGGTACATCTTTTTTGTCTTTTTTTTTGATGTCGAAACCTATCGTCTATTGGTCAAAAAATACATTTGTATCATGTCCCGAGAAATCTGGCCTAGCTTTGACAGAAAAAGGCCACGATCTTTCTATGTTAGAACGTCCTCTTGAGTAAGCAAATGGCCAGCTGAGAAAATCCATCTCATCTTACTCGAAATACCTACATACGAAAATCGGAGTGCGAAACGATATGAAGTCGTACCGTATGGGTTGCTAATGGACAGTTCCTGGTCAGAGTACTTATCAGCACTGAGTATTGAAGCGTAGCCAACTGCAGAAGTGCCAGTGGTCGCCTATCAGCCAGAAGGACTGGGCAACTTTGCATGTTGGGGTTTCCGCCCAACACTCGGAGAGCCGACTATAAGACCTTTTGTTCAGGAGTAGTCCACAGGAACTTCTATATCAATAGCGATGACCTCAATGATGACCTGCCTAGCCAATTCATCCGCGAGGCATTTTCCTACAATACTGGTACAGTGGCAGTGGGATACAAATCAGTCTCGAGCTCAGACAGCTGAGTGAGAGCTCACCTCCACCAACTCTATTGTCGAACTTCCACCCATCGCTTAAAGAGGTTGCCACTCTCCAAGTTTCCAAAGATTGTCGAGTGCTCATACGGAGGGCTTCAAGGAGAAACCAGTGCTTATTTTGTAATTTTAATCAAAGTTTTTGAGCAAACCCTCGACATCAAGTTGGCTAGCGTCATCCTACGTCAAAAATTGAAAGGGTAGTACGTAAGGTATATTGAAAATAGCAAAAATAAATTCTGAAACACTCTAATGTATATGTAAGTATGTCCCTGTAATAGCACCACCCCATTTCGATCTAGATCTCAAATGAAATCGAAATAAAAAAGAGAAAAATGTTAGTACACTTATCACCTTAGCTAGTTTTCTTAGTTCGTTGACCACATCGAATTACCGAACTAAATACGTACATATTTACTACGAAAAATGAAGCTAATCGAAATCGAACGCTAATGCCTTGAACTGTGACGAAATTTGTATTTTTTTTTGATTGATTTACCGCTTTTGTTTTGCATGTCCGTTATTGGTATTTAAGCTGCATAAACGTAAATAATTTCGTATGTCTTTGCTGGCTGATTTACT